CCCCCAGCCTGTCCACAGCTAGTGCTCTCCAATCAGCAAAGTTTATGCTATCTTCTGATTGGAGAGCTAGCCGTGACTCTGCAGGGGGTGTTTTGGATCTCTGCAGAGAGCTCTTGGAAGGCATTCATGTTTTTTTGAGATACCATTTTTGGTGTCAACATGTTCGTTATCTGAAAAATGCCATGTACATACATTTACAATAAACACACACCCCTGAACCTCTACAGTATATTGCTGGAACATGACTGGCTTATGCTAAATTTTTTATGAGGGATAATATCCAGCATATTTGATACAAAATTAATGTAAAATATTTCACTCTACTTACCCACAATCCTGCTGTCTTCTCTGTCCAAATATCTCTTCCACATTTGCCTGCCTTTCTGTGAGTCACTGAAAAAATGGAAAGTCTTTATGAAATAAAAATAAAGAGGTACAAACAATTTCAATCTCTCTCTCTCTCTCCCTTTCTAAAAAATGTGGTTGCTTTGAGTGCTAAAGCTTGGGTTCCTTTAAGCTCTGGTGCTGGAAATCCATCCCTGATGATGATTACAGGAACACAGACCACACTGACCACTGATGCATCTATGATGCAGTCTGCAATCCAAGCCATGTTAACATGGGGTATATGCCCTTTACAGTTAGTATATGTAATGACTAACCCAAAGCAGTGCTTGGGTAACAGATCATGTATTGCTAGGGTGTTTTTTGGAGATTTTGAGTTGCTGTAGTTGCTCTGCACTCATCATCTATGAACTGTGTCTGGCTCTGCAGCACTGCCACTCTGTAGCCTGCACATCTGAGCCTTGTTAGTCACCTCCAGCCAGTTCCTGATCAACAGGTTCTGTTTGTCTCTTGTCTCTCTTACTACTGGGTTTCTGTTTTCTTCCTACAATCCTCCTGTACTTTGGAATTATGCTTCTGTCAAATGCTTGCCTCAACCCCTTGCCTGTTCGACCATGCATTTGTCTGCTGCCTGCCTTAACCCCCTGCCTGCATGACAGCATGTCTGCCTCTTGATCTAATACCATGCCCCGCTTGTCAGCTATCACTGCTGGACCCTAAATGACTTGTGCCCTGGGCTGTAGCAGAATAACATCCGCACCCCCAGTGGCTCTGGTAGAAACCTGACACTCTGCGGTTGTACTTTGGAGTGAACCTTCTGTGACAAGGAGGGTAAAATAATTGCAACAGCATTCATGCCCTTGAAGTTCTATAATAAAGCAATACTAGACCTATTCTAAACCTCAAATAACAAATCCTGTCATAATGGATCAACGTATTTACACTGTAAAGCCCCAGTACCTATAGCATTGTATTACACAATAAAAAACAAAAGCCTTTATTGTGTAGTATGAGAAATTATTGGTTTGGTCTCACTAGAGCTGACAATAGAGCTATAAAATGTTTACAGAGTTCTAAGATGACTAAGGCTAAATTCACTAAGCTATAACCTATCTATTTGCCATAGCAATCATTACTTTTAGGCCATGTGACTTTTATTTTCTTCTCTCAATGTTTCTCATTCTTGAAAATAATGTGTGTTATGGCAAATAACGATTGTTATAACTTTTGTGAATTCAGCCTTATGAGGCTAATAAAGATGATACTCTCTCTGTGGATGAGTCTGTAGTGCACAGGCGTACATGGGGAATAAGGATGGGCTGCATGTTCGAGTCGACCATAGGTTCGACTCGAACATTGCATGTTCTAGCGTTCGCCGAACGCCGAACATTATGGGATGTCCGCGGTCTGTTCGACCCCGGCACATCCCACAATGCACTGTGCCATCCGAAAACGGTAATTGGCTACAGTCCTGCACCTGACCGCAGGTCAGGTGCAATACTGTGCCAATCAGGGCTCAGTACAAATGTAGAGCCATGATTGGGCAGAGTCACGATGACTCTGCCCAATCATGTCTCACAGCTAAGTCCCTGCAGCACACTATATAAGGCTGCTGACACCGCGGCCCCATGTAGTGTGCTGTAGGAGATAGAGAGGGTTCTAGTATAGTTAGTTACAGTCAGCAGATAGATAGAGAGTTATAGATAGTTATAGAGAGTTATAATAGACTTAGAACTTATATATATAT